TTATATATATAGATTTGTCTCAGCCACCAATTCTAAAGCGACCCATATGCATTCGTATATCCGCTATCAACTCAATGGATATATTTTCTTTTGTTTGTTAAGTCGATAAAATCAGGGGATAATCCAGACTTTTACCACCCGACTAATCCTCCTAAAGTGAGTGTAGCGGTCGAGTAATCCACTCACCATGTTTTCTAAAGGGCCTAGCATGATATTACTTCGACTGGGTTAATGAGAATGGTTAAATAATTTTACGTTTGAGGAAAATCGAACTCTAGGCTAAACCCACATAACTATTCTTTCCTCAAGTAGGAACTACTAGCCAACGATCGTTTGGTTATATATATCATATTTGTTACCATAGTTAACCATTATCATTTGTTGCCGTAATAGCGATTGTTGTTTTTGTCCGCCACTAATCTACTAAAGAAATTCTAGAAGATAAAACACAAAAATGTTTTTAATTGAGTCCACAAAACAACGTGGAGACCACCGGTTGGGCAATAGGCTTAAGATAGCCAAAGACCCAAAGTAGACATGGCTATAGTAGGGTTCACATTTAACATTGCATGTAAATAAAGCATAGATAAAGTTAACGTTACAGACTTATACTACAGTATTAAAACAATGTCATTACTGATATGATTGCATGCATGATTAAGACAAACCTTATAAAAGCTCCAAAATAGAAATTACCCTCTGTAAACGAGAAAGCATAGACTCGTTAATCCCTTTGCCTCAACTTTCCATTTTGTGTCTCTCATTTTCTTCCGTTCTTTGCATTTTGCAAGGCTTTTAAATTAATACAAGTTTGGGACCGCACTTATAGTAGTTGCAAATGATATATTGAGTGACGGATCCAAAAATAATTTCAAGTGGGAGCAAAAATATTTAAACTAAATTACTATTAAATTCTTTTTAAAAATATAGCACCATCTCAATAATATATGTACTTATAAATGCATTAGGTATTTAACTTTGCTTTTTCAAATTACTTTTCTAGATATTTAACAATAACAAAAGTTTACAAAAAAAATAAAGATAATTTTTTGTCTTTAATAATTGGTTAGTTACCACATTTTATCAAACAAGCTTATGTATATGATAAATCGTTGCAAAGCATTTTTAACTTTTGTAACAACATCTTACCATGTGTCTAACAAAAATAGTTAGCCGTACGAAAGAAAAAAATATATCATATGCTACAATTCGTTTAAAAGACTTAGAGTTAAAATCTTGTGAGTTTTGCATAATTATAAGGAAAAAGGTGTTAGTTATAGGTTAAGATTTTCATAGAAGTTAATATTATGGGTGATCTATGTACACATTTAATTGACTGAATGTT